CTTGGGTCTTTTACAAAAGAAAAAAAAACTAAGCTAAAAATACTAAAGTAAACTATTGCTATGGATTTAATTATAGCCCTTAACTCTTAACGAAACAACTTTTTTAAATAAAATCGTTGCTTACATAGAGGGATACTTTTTAAAAAACACTGTAATGCTATATAGCACGTATATATTAGCTTAGAATAACAGTTAAATATTTGTTTTTTTAAGTAAAACATGTCAGTTTTCAGATTTTTTGGCATTCGTTTGATATTAAGAAATTTAATCGCAAAAATATATATTCCCGGGCAATCTACATAATGAAATTATGCATGATTAATTTTAATTGGCCGAGTAGGTAGATCATCAGAAATTCATCGAACATTCTGATGGGTAAATAGATGCACGCATGAACTATATGTATTTTTTAAAATATTATATTATTGGATTTTATGTTTTTAAAAGATTGCAATGATTATTTTACATTTTAAAGAATCGAAGAAAACAAAATCATTTATCTAAATCAATTAATACTTTATTAAATATTATTATCATGATCCTAATTGTGATGAATTGACAATACTACAGGATTTTCGAAATTTTTTTGGGTGGCGATTTTACCCGGTTGATATCATCACAAACTTTTTTTCGTAATATTACATAAAAAACTACATATTCTTATAGTAATTTTTTATAAAAATTTATACATTCTACGGACCTTCCGTAATATTATATATATGTAAAACACATAAATTTGCATAAATTATTACAGAGTTATATGAATTATTACAATCATTATAATTATATACTGAATTAATTTCTTGAAAAAATTAGTGTTATTTTTTCACATATTACATATAATTTTCTTATCGATTACAGTTATTTAACTTCTTTCAGCATTAGTCTAAATTTTATCCGATTGTATTTTATTAATTTAAGATGCAAATTATTAAAATTAATTTTTTAAAAAAACAAACCAAATAAAATTATACTTGCTTTGAAAGATCGATACAAAGAATTAACTTTCACGGGATCTAATTTCATGCCTTCATATTTTGGATCAAGAATATAAAGACATATAGCTATTGTGAAAACTTTGTCATCTTCAGTAGGTTGTTCTTTTACCCAAACTTTTGATATAATTGAGTCCATATAGGTTTGAGATGATATAGTACTAATTGGAGTATTTAATTTGCGTAGACACCATTTCGTATTTTGAGATTCTTTAAAAGTTTTAATTGTATCAGCAGAAGCTGATGAATCGATTTTACTGAGCTTGTCATGAAATACTTCAAATAATTTATCTTTGATTTTCTTGACAATAGTTACACAATGCTTGCATATTTTGTCTTTAGCCTAGTAAATAATAAGTATTGTATGTATATATTTTTAGTAATTAAATAATATCAATAACGTAAAATATAAAATAAAATACAGTACTATAGAACAAATTGCTGATTTAAAAAAAGAATCTCATTCTCTATTATTTATTAAAAATCGCATGCATTCAGGTTGTTTAGAACTTAATGCACGTAAAGCTACAGATTTAATTGTTTCGTCTGGATGGATATTTAAAATCTGGAAAAATATCACTAATAATATATTTCCAGTAGGGCTATTATAAAATAAATTAATTATTAATTAAATTTATATATAGTATAATATTTAATTTAAAATTACCTCAACCCATTGAGCCCGAGATGAAGCTTTATCAGTTTTATGTGATTCATTTAATATGTCTTTAATTTTTTTAATTTCTTCTGATTGTAAACGAATTGTTGATTCTATTTCTTCATAAAGATGCAATAATGTTTTTAAACTTGTTTGATTAGCAAGTAAAGTATCTAATATTTTATTTAAAGTATTATCAGTCGAATCTAAAAATTATAAATTATTTTAATTAAAATAAATAAATAATTATATATATTTGAAATTTTAAAAACTTACATTCTATATGATTTGATTTTGTTATTAATATTAATTGATTCTGAAGTATTTGAATTAAATCTATTATTTTGTAAATATTTAGAACTTGGTAATATTTTTGAATTATTATTAGAAATTGAAGATTCACTTTCAGAGTTTGACAAATCATCATCTTCATAATTATTTAAAAAATATTTGCTTGATGAAGATGTTAAAGGTTGTTGAGATAGATAATGGGAATCCGAATTAAAACTCTTTGACTTGTCTAAAATTTTAAAAAATAAAATATATATATTAATAGAATATTAAAAATAAATAAATTTTATTTGTATAAAATACCTAATTTATTATTTTTAGTATTTAAATTTTTTTGATAAGTATCGTTAACAGGTTGTGTATCAGATATATTACTATCTGATTCATTTTCAAGTAATTTTGACTATCTTGTATATTTTGAATATCTTGCGTATCTTGTATATCAATTTGTTAATTCTTCATTTTGAATATCGTTTATTAAATTTTTATTTTGAGAAGATATTTTTTTATCTTGAGATGATGTTTGCTTATCTTGAAAAGATGTTTGTTTATTTTGAGAAGATGTTTGTTTATTTTGAGAAAAAGCTATTCATTTATTTTGAGAAAAAATTTGCTTATCTTGGGAAGATATTCATTTAACTCCTTTTTTACTATGTTTCATTTTGAAAAATATAAAAGTTAAAGTTTATAAAAAGTTAAATAAAATTAGTATTTATATAAATTATGTTTAACAATAAATCATAAAGATTATCAACAAATTTTAATTATTATTAATATGATATAAAAATTTAAAATTTAGAATTATTAATACGAAATAAAATTTAAAAATTGTAAATTTTAATTATATAAATACAAATGGCATATATTTGTAAACCTTGTAAAAAAGAATTTAAAACATCTCAAGGATATGGAAATCATATAAAGTCTTTAGCACACAAACTTAATCCTTTATGTGAAATTACTAATAACAATTTGTTATCTAGTAATATTTCAAAGCAAAGTCAATTAGATAATAAACAAGAAAATTTTATGGATATATATTCAACTTCAAATGAAAATAAAAGTTCTAATTCAAATTCATTATATAATTCTTTAAATAGTGAAATAATTATAACTGATGATAAAGAATTAAAAAGTAATAGTAGCAAAAATGAAGAATTAACAAATTGATATACAAGATACGCAAGATATTCAAAATATACAAGA